ACTGGCAAGGGACAGATTATCTTTAATTCAAGAGTACACTTAGACTCTGGCTGCAGGGAACCTTAAAGATTCTGCATTTAAAGATTCTGGCTGCAAGAAGCCTTATTTCTTTGTTTAGAAAACATTAGCTCTAGTACTTCTAAAACATTTCCATAACATGGGCCAGTGCTTGAGACTGATGGCCTTTCATGACTACCTTCCCCTCCAACCTTCCCTGCAACAATCATATTTCTTGGTCACATAAAAAAAAGTTCCAACATTGTGGCTCCCTCCCCATTAAGGGTGAAGGGGGACCCTGTGAGTCTATCTATGCTAGCCTTTCACTGGGGCCAGGCATGAGGGAGCAACCTCTGATTAGGTGCATGGCTGTATTCCTACCACCAGCAGCACAGAAAAATGAGAGGGTGATTTCACAAACCACGCCAAGTTACACCAGTCTGCAGCATATACCTGTTGATTAGGGAAGTGAGAGATGCTTGTGGGTTTGGGTTGTTTTGTTTTGTTTTGTTTTGTTTAGTTGATAGAAAAAGAAAACTCCTAAATACATCTTGGGCTTGGGTTATAACTAGCACCAGGTGTCATTGCATGAAGACTGATGCATGCACAACTGACACTTTTTAGGACAACAAAGCCTCATCTTATTTCAGCTGTGCATGCCTCGTCTTCTTGCTGGAAGCAGCATTTTGGATTGCACTTTGAATTTATTCCTTTGTTTAATTTTTCCTCTGGCTGTGGGAAACCATTAACTTTGTGTTTGATTTTAGCCACAAAAGGCTTTGTTTTCACTTGTGGCAGCAGGTAAGTGTGACCCAGCCAGTTTTTTTATGGACAGAAATTGGCCTACCATGCACTTGCACTCCAGAACAGTTACAGTCCCTTGTCAATGTGCCTTACTCCTGACCCGGAGGGACTATTTTTTGTGGAGGAGAAGATAGAACATGCTTTATTCTCATTCAGTCCTTGGCCTTCTTGTTGATGTTGCCAACAAGGTGGTCAGTTAGTACCAGTTGCCATTGGGATTTTGTGATATGGACTGACACTTCCAACTCATTTCATATATGTTACTGAACAACCAATAGACAGGAACTCGATCTGGATTGGAATCAGTAACCTAGAGTCAAAACGGCAACCTATGTTCTATTACCTGACTCTCGTCTGTGAGCTTGATGGTGTCTTTGAGCCCAGCTGCAGGGTGATCTGGTACAAAAAATCTCAAGATATGAAACTACTGGAGATGGGAGGGAGAGGTAGAGAGTGCAGGGAAGGGATGTTTCTATGAACATAGTAACATTTGTTCACCTCCTTTCATGAGCTCATTAATGATCAAATAGCTTTTGAGATAATAGAAAAGATAAGAATTTTTTAACAGTGCATTTCAATTTTAATCCATTTGTCTTCCATTTCCTCTTTCCTGCTTCTGAAACATCTGCTGTCTTCTGGTATTTGGTACAGGGAGGAGGGAAAGAATATCTATTCTCACCATCCTTGAACTTTCCTGCAAAGCTGGCTCTGTTTCCTGCCTCAACTCAGCTCCTCACTTGCTAGTTTTTCTTCCTGTTTGTTGCCTAATATATACGTCTGCGGCAGACCTGCAGTATCTCTTTAAAATGGAAACCTTTTCTGCAAAGCATTCCTTTTCACCCTGTAAAAGTTCTGCACTGTAAATTTCCTCCAGCTTTAATAACCACTTTGCACCAGAGTCATAAATTTGAATAACTTCATGGAAGAAGATTTGTCGGAAAGTGGGTCACACAAACAGTCTTCTTCCTGACAGGTGCTGACACAGCCTGGTACAACAGGCTTTTTCCTTTAAAAAATGAAGAGGCTACAGCAATTAACTTGCCTGCCTTCTTTTAAACTGCCGTGAACCTTGTCCTGCCCTCCTTGTACCTTCAGAACTCCTGTTGGCATCAGTGGGAGTTTTGGGTCTGCAAGGAATGCAGGATCAGGGAGAGTAATGGTGTGTTTTCTCCTCTACTCAGACACTAGACATTTAACTATTTCATTGCCCAGCCCAGCCTTCCTGTCTACATTGAAATGTCAAGATGTTCTATCACATAAGAGCTAATATCAGAGGCACAGAATTTTGGAGAGTTCATCTCTGAACTTCATGGGTAGCCCCTTTCACTCTAACAGGCCAATCCAAAACCCACATGTGACTGCTGCCTTAACTTTGTGATCCTTGCCCATTTCAGCTGTGATTTTTAAAAAAGAGGACAATACAGTTTGGATGCAGGCCTCCACCTTATGCCACATGGCTATGAGTGGTCTGGAAAATCTTAAGGCTCCCTCTTTGTTCTCTCATTCTCATCAGGTCTGTTCTAATAATAATGTAATACATTTTGGCCTAATATAGAGTGTTCTGTCCAATGATGTCGAGTCTAAGCACTTTGCAAACCTTAATGAATTGCAGTAAATAACTTGCTCAGTGTCACCAAAAGGGTCAATGAGTGGCATAGGTGGGTATCGAACTCAGACCTCCTTGGCCGTGGCTCCAAACATTAGACCATATTCCATCATGCAGCTGGTAGACTGTACTGGAGAGGTAGAAAGAGACGGTATTGTCAGCACATCTGCCTTTTCAATACAGATTGGTTAGACTAACCAAACAGCATTCCTGACACTGCAACTTCCCATTTGCTGTTACTGCTGCTGCTTCTGGAGGTATTTATCTATGTGAAAGCTTGACATGTATCAGCCTAAAGAAAAGCGATCCTCAGAGCAGGATAGTGCTACTGTGGACTGTCTGTTCTGGGAAAGTGCTTGGGTATGGGAATAAGATGTAGTGTTTGGATACAATGAGAGAAGTAATTCAGAGTAGCACAGAGTATAAGCTCATACTTAACCACTGCCTTTGATAAGAAATCTTATAAATGTCATGTGTGGTTTCAAATGTTTTAGAGCCTGATTCAAAACCCCCGATGTCTATAGAATATTAACTTATGCCATTGATTTACATGGGCCATGGATTAGCTAGGATGGACTCCATATCCTTTTGGCTCAAAATGTGGTTAGTGCACAACAAACTTTATATATTTACCATCATTTGCAAGTTACCAACCTTACAGGCAACCTTACAAGTTACTGGCAATTACTCTTAATTAATACTTTTCTGGTGGCCTCACCACTTTTTCCAAAGCACAAGTTCTAAGTTAAAAAAACAACAACCCAGCAACAACAACATTTCTGTCCCGTATAGTTGTGAAGAAAGCCTTTCACATGTGAAAGCGCAGATGGCTCTGGTCCTGAGTCTGCAGACAGCCTGAAACAGTAGTTCTAGTTGAGGTATAAACTTCCCTTTTCACCTCAGTGAGGTATTAATTCAAAACCCTACTGGTTACAAATTCAATGTCCACATTAACTATTTCACTGTTGATTGTTTTAACAGAAACATCCAGCTATTCTGGTGGAGAGCAAGTAAAAAAAACCCTCTTTTTTTTTTTTCTCAATCCAACTTCTGTTTCCCAGTTTGAAATATGACATGCTGCATGGCCATGTGAAGTAGCTCTTTCTGCTCCATGCCTGAGAACACGTTTAAACACTAAGAAGGTTTTAAATCTTTGTTTATACCCACCTAGAAGCTGAAGAAAGAAAAGACTTTGATAATATGGCCTGATGGCAATTTCTCACTACAGTATATTCTCCAGGGTTTTGTCCAGTCTTGTTTTAACTGGCTCATGTGATCAGGATTTTACTGCTGTCCTTAGGAAACTCTTCCACCGTGTAATAAATCTGTCAAGAAGTTTCCTGACATTCAATATAATTTTCCTTTTACTCATCCTCAGTCGAATACTCTTAGTTATACTCTCTTGGACTATCTCAAAAATTCACCTCTCTACTCATACATCAGTCTCTTCCTACCCCCTTTAATCATTTTTGTTGCATTTCTCTGAATTCTCTCCAGTTTGTCCCTTTTTGATTTGTTGAGGTACCACTTGGAGTAAAAACAGATCAACCATCTATCTCTCCATCTTGTACAGAGCATATGGTATTCAAAAGAAAAAGAGCTGGGGCTTCTGCCAGCATTATAGATGGATCAGTCTCCTATTTCAGAATTAGAAAAATCAAGTGAAATAGTAGGTTAGCAAACCAGGTCACACTGCATTATTAGAAATGCCTTCCCCTGTGTCATCATAGCTGACCAGCACAGATTTTGCTGAATGCATTTTCCCCAAGGCATGTACAGAGTTCACACAAATGAGAAGATTCCCCCAAATCTAACTTCCAGTAAAGGGTGGGGTGGGGGGGCAGTTTCATCTCTGATGTAACTCCATTGACTTCATTAGTATTACTGGTATCTCAGGCAGGAGTTGGCTCAGTTTTTGGAGACATCTGACATTAACTCAAGTTTTACAGAATCTGTGAGATTTCTAGTAGTGTGGGGTAGAGTTTAATTTTGAGATCAGAGGCATGACTGCTATCTTTCCTGGCTCCACAGTTATGCCCCATAAACCTCCTCCTTCATGATTCCTTTTAATAACTTCTCTTTCCTGGCCCGCTCCCTTGTCTCCAGACCTGCAGAAGTCGGGACTGCATGGAAGCAATAGGCTTAAAGAGAAAAGTGGGTGGAGGGGATGACCAAGAGAATGAGCATGGTTCTGTTCTGATGAACACATAATAAACAGAATTTTGGGTCTCGATATTGGTCTCAAATTTCTTTCCCAATACCTGAAAGTCTATCAGTGCTTCTCCTGAATGGTGCAACACCAGGTACTTAGAAAAGCATAGTAATATGCATTGGAAATTAGACTCTGCTTTGCAATGTAATGATAGCCCATAGTAGTACTTTGCGAGAGGAGGACTTACACCAGGCCTATGCCTACAAGGCAGGGAATGCTTAAGAAATAGTGGAGAGTTCCTGCAATTGAAAATGTAAGCCAAATATTCATATGAATGCTTAGTTTGTGGAATGAGCTGAGACGCATGACAAAGATTCTTCAGTAAAACACATCCTTGGTGCAGGCATGACACATTGGACTCAGACGTTGTATTGTTTTTAGTTTCAGGAGCCTCTGGGAGCAAGGACAGGCATCCTGGCTATGTGACAGCAGCACTGGGGAACACATGGAGTCACAGCGTCAACACCAGGCTCATACTACAGTATCATGACTTGCACACAAGACAGGTGAGGAACTTATCAGGAAAAAACAGTAAAAATTGAGAGCCCAGAGCCTCATAACCTGTGCTTTAGGGGATGGGCTCACTGTGAGTTCTGGCTCCGTTGACTCAGAGAGGACTCTGTGAGAACGCGGCCCCTTGTGCTTGGGGTTATGGTTTATGGAGTGCATTGGTACCCTGTTCTTTTGGATGGGGGCCATTCCTTGAGTGCTCTGACACCCTGTGTTCTGGAGCAGTGATGGCGTTTTCTGAGTTACTTGGTACCTGATGTTCTGGAGATGGAGGGTTGTCCTTTGAGAACCTTCCCAGTCAGTGATCTTTGGGGCATGTGCCCTGCACTCTGTATACTATCTGATTTTCTACAAGTCTTGAGCAAAATATCTGTTGTGAGTATTCCTATAGAAACTCTTATAGTTTTTGCAGCTATTTGCAAGTGAAATTTTTCTGTCTCCACCTGCAGTAATAGCTTTTAACTGCAAACATGGTGAAAATTTTCCAGGAGCATTTTAGCAATAGCGAGAGAACTCACCATTTTCGCTGAGAAATGTTATGATGTGCAGTGAAGTGTGGTAGAATTTTACTTGCAGTGAAAAATTGGGATTCGAGGCATAATATGTTCGCTTTTTGAGAGGCCAGCACAACTCATGATGTAATTTATTCCCTTGGGGTGTCTGTGTGGTTGGACTTTCTTGGTTTAGCATGTTTCATTATTTTGCCACTGTAACTCTTTCCAAAGATCCTGCCACTCTTTCTAATGTTACTGATTTCCTGTTCCTTAAAGTCAGGGTGTTGTCGGAAAAATGACTATGTGAAACTTTCACCTTCTTATTTCTCATATTTGCTCCCTATGTGTCTGCCATTCAGAGCTTCTGATTTTACTGCCACAAACCAATGGTTCCTTCTGCTAGCCTCCCAGGGTCCATACAGCTACAGGAGAGTGATTCTACCATGCACATAATCAGTGGAGTTCTCATTTCAGCATCTTTATTACTGGGGATGATGTACAGTGTGAGGCAGAAAGTTCAGCTGGATCCTCATATCCCAGGTTGAATTTGTATCAAAGACAGGTAGAAAAAGAATCTTTTGACTCATAGAGTGGGCACATTTACTTTGGAGTCATTGAAAAGTAAATATGGAACCCACAATGTCATTTGTACAGAAACACATTTATGAATACAGCTGCTCTTTAAGTTCTTCCTAGTTCTGCTTTACATTCTGTGCTACAGGGAGTTCTGGTCCCTCTAGACATGTTGTACAAGGTAGAAAGAAGCCAATTGTGTCCTGGATCATTTTAAATGTGATTTGCTGGTGTGGTGGGGGGGACTGGGTTTAGTGCTGCTTTATGATGTTCTAAGCAGGCTAAACATTCTGCTGTTTTCACGTGAGAGAAATTCAGGATATCAAGTCAGGTCTTCCCTGACTTTTCTGGAGGACTCATGGAAATGTGTAGAAGGTGTTTCCTTAGCCCTTAATTGAATCTTTTACGAAGATCTTTTCTCCTGCATGCTTTAGTTGAATAGATGTTTAACAAAAACAAAACATTTGAACCAGTTTGAATTGTTAAGTATAATTATTAATAATTATTATCATCAGCATGCCAATAAGTCCCAGCCATGGATAATCACTCCCCATCTCAGTTAATTATGTGTCACCTCCTTGGTACTTATGATGTCATATTCTACTATTCCTCCAGCAAGCCCCGACAAGAACTGAATTTATGTGTAAAAAACAAAAAACGTCCATGAGGGGAGAGGGTCCCAGAGCCCAGGCTTCAACCCAAGCCTGAATGTCTACACTGCAACTTTATAGCCCCACGGCCCAGGCCCAGCTGACCCTGGCTGGCTGTGGGTGTGTTTTTGCAGTGTAGACATACCCAAAGAGGACAGCCTGACTTTCAGATTCCACGTGGAGCTTGCAGTTAGGAAAAATCTTGTTTCTTGTGAACTGAGCAGATTTGTTATCAATATTAGTGAGACAAAACAGGGCCAGCTCCAGGGTTTTGGCCGCCCCAAGCAGCCAAAAAA